TGCTGTTTCACTGCACTGTTTGTCTGAGTGGGCAGACAGTGAATGCAGCTTGTCCTGTGTCCCCTAGGCTAGCTCTGCTGTACCACAAGGGAACGGTGGGAGGACATTATTCTATCCCCGGCACTGAAGTCAGATTTCACTGCTAGTCAGTCCAGTTGGCTTTTGCACATGGATGCAACGGAGCAGGGGATGGACAATCTTCCTTTGCCTCAGGCAGCAGAATGTCTTGGACCAGTCCTGTGCCAAAGTAATTTAATGGATTTGCTGTAAATTCCAATCAAGAGTCTTCCACCAAACCTGCATCCTGACTGTCAGAATATTTTGCATGTCCTCCATAAAAATGTGTGCATTTTAAAGCACATCAATAAAAATCCAGTCTATGTGATGGTTTTATGGGTTGAGAAATGGAGCCGGAAAATACTGACTTACCCCAAAAGTAATTTATTGAGTTAGAGTACAATTAACACCACTACCTTCAATAATAACCAGGCTTGGAATTAGTTACTCCCCTGAGAGTCACCAGTTAAAATCTGCTTCATGAACCTTGCTTAGCAAGTACAAATGCCCTTTAGCTGCCATATGTTCAGATGAGGCAGCACCATGAGGACTACAAGCATGATCCTGTGTTCTACGATTAAAAAGTCATGTCTACCAAGGAAAAACAGGGTCTCCTTGCACATCCTGCATATTTGTAGGATACTAAGCCATGGTCTTTCCCTTGACCCTTCCCAAACTCATAGTTTGCATAGGTTCTTTGTTGCATCCCCACCTGACAAGCAGGGACAAACTGGGAGGAAGCTGAGCAAAAGGGGCAGGGCTGATAGACCAACAGCTGGATTTCCATCATTCTCTAAGCCTCAGAGTCTTGGGTGAAAGGAAGATGTGTGTCACATGTCCTGTGGACCAAGCAGTGAAGGTAGAAGTGGGAAGGACTTATGAGGACTACTTTTTCTGTACTCATTTGTAATTGGTGTCTTCTGCCTCAGTTCCTGAGTTTATTAAAAGGCAGGGTAACAAGTGTGTGTGTGTATGCATGCTCATTTTAGCCTTTCAATCATCTTGTGAGGTCAGACTTAGAGAACATGACTGGCCTAAGGACAGCCTAAAAGTTTTATGCCAAGGAATCATTTAAATTAGCAATATGAGATAATACTATAAGCTAGGAAACCTGTTTCCGTTGTTTAGAGTTAAGTTTTCAAGTTTTTTTTCCTGAAGAAAGTCACTGTTTCATTTAGCCATTCAGGGAACAATCCAATGTTCCACATGCTTAAAAGCATGTGAGCCTCTGAATTCAGAATGGGATATAATGGTGGTGATCTTCACCATTCCATTCCTCTTACTCTGCATGTCATCTAGTCAGCCAGGAGGGAAGATGGCTGGGGCACCATCCTGAAAGAGTGTAAGACGTCAGCCCCAATGTCTTCCCTTCCCTTCCCTTCCCTTCCCTTCCCTTCCCTTCCCTTCCCTTCCCTTCCCCACTCCACACTCTCTTTCCTCTGAGGTTGATTTCTGACCTCAGAGAGGCAGCCAGCAAAGTTCTTCCTATGATGGCTCAAAGGACCCTGGATTACAAATAACCTTATTCCCTGCTCCCAGACAATGTCAGGAGGCAATTAAGATGGTCTCCTTGATGTGTGGTAGCATATTTTTAAGTACAGGATGCAAACATAAACAGAGACTTCTAATTTGTGAAAATATACAGAAGAATTGAAATATTTCAAGTTGTGTATGGTATTTACAATAGGCAAACTGAAAGAAAAATCTAAGGGTTTTAAGGATTCGAATTATACTATTAATAATATTAAAATTAGTATTACTCCTGCTGCATCAGTACCTGATTTATAGCTTGCCTAGATGGAAGTATGAAATAGCTACATCCACCATTTATATACAGTTATTTATACAAAAGAGAAATTAATAATATATAGAAAAGGCAAATCATCTAGAATTCTGTATAGTGCACAGCCCTAGAAGTCTGAGGCTTTTGTCACAATAACAGAAGTTAGCACTTAAGAGAGCTCCTGGACCACCCAGCGCCATACAAACATTAGCTCCTTAATCGCTCATTAGGGGCCATCATCTAGAACACGGTTGTGGCTCATTGAATAAAGCCGTCCCTCTCGAACTTTGTGGAATTGCCTCTCTTTATCATGATCTCCCTCTGCAAGGGGGAGAGAGAGAGAGAGAGAGAGAGAGAGAGAGAAGCCATGTGTTGAAGGTAAAGAAACCTCACCTGGATTCTGATGAGCAAATATACAGGGGTGAGATGCTGCAAAATCAGGATTAGACCATAATACTTTGGTTTCTGAGGTAGGAAAGCCAAATTCCTGCTAATTAACAGGAGACACATGTCTGGGAAACTCTCCTGAACATAAAAGTGAAGCAAACATGCCTTTAGGGTGCTAACAAAAAGCTACATGTTGCCTGATTTTTATCTGGATATATAATTGGGTGTGTTCTTATGTTTTAGAAAACCTGCTCCAAAGCACTCGGGCCATTCCTGGTAAGAAGGACAGATCATCACTTGCCCTAAGGAACAAGTATCATCTGTTCAATTCTACAACACTGCAAAAGGCTAAAACGTAAATCCCATGCAGCCTGAATAAGACCAACAACCATTTAATTTAACAATAGCTGCCTACGAACCCTGGCATTCAAATTCTGCATCTCTCAGGTTCCCCTGTACCATTTGGCTGCTTAGCCTGAAGCTGCCCAGCCCCTTCCCTGTGACGCTCAAGCAGATTAGCCAGGCAGACGGAGCAGCCAGGCCACATGGCTTCTGTGGGAGAAGGCCACTTGCTGCCAGATGGCGTGTGAACAGGCTAGCAAACAAATATCTCCAAAATCTGCTGGCAGAGCATAGCTTGTCCTCTCTAATGTCGCAGGGAAGCCACCTTATTTTCTTGATGTCAGGCAAATTCTCCTATTTTCAGACAGAGGAGGGGCCTCCCTTTTGAAACTGCCAACAATTGTTAGTCGCCAAAACTGGAAATGATTGTTCCTGGACATCTTCATTTATAGGGAATGGCCACTTGTATGTATAGTGCTTTCCCAGAGTCTTTTAAGCAGCATTTTCCTCCCTGTGGGAATCTGAGCCTATGCCAAGCCAATTTTAAAGTAGCATCTATCTCTCTCTGTGTTACAAAAAGAGAAAGGGTTTACAGAACACAGCCTACCAGGGGGATTTGCTTGCATATCTATTCCTGGTATGGCTTTGGCCTCCTTCCAGTTTGACTGGCTCCTTGAAAGACCATCAAGGAAATTCCTCAGGAGACAGCCTGGTTTCAAAGCAGGATCTGTGATACCAGAGACACATAATTGTCTTTACTTTTACAATTGCAACTCCTGAAAAGGGCAGTGGGGGGGGGGGGCTACCCATAATGATTGCTTGGAAGCAAGAACTGAGTCCAATTCTAGCTAACACGCCAAGTTTTCCATTCGTGTAACAATGGTGTGTTATGCATTCTGGGGATATCAAACGTGGAAAAAGCACCCGTCTCAACTTTGCGCTTCAAGGTGAAGCTGCGTAACTGCAGCTTCACCTTGAGCACACACAGACTTTCTGACCATGGATCACTTCCAGTCTTTGTGGGCCATGTCGTTTTTCTCCTACAAGAGGGCAGTTGCTAATCCCAGGCTTACAGCACAATGGACAGTTGGGGATCACTGCACTTCACTCTTCTGAATTATTAAGGTGTGACCATCATGTTCACCAGACTACCCAAAACAAAAGAACTAGATCAACATGGTATCATCAAATCAATGACAGGACAGGCAGACTCCCTGCATGGTTGTAACTCTCAGTCTCCTTCCCTGTAGAATCAACAAGAAGTTTCTGCAGTGGTTGAAATGTCAGGCTTTAAAAAATCTCAGGCCTTTCTCGATAATGACAGGCCTTCTGCTTTTTTTAAACTGGACTTCACTGTTTTATCTGCAAATGCTGAGTATCAACAGCAAGGGTGGTGAATCTCGGGCCTAGAGCCAGAATCCGCCTTCCTGTGATCTCCAAACAGCACATCACTTTCCTCTCAACCCACCCACTTTCCTTCAACTACTGGTAGTTTTGCAGTTTCACAACTTTTGTACTATTTTTTCTAATTCTAGAAAGTTTGAAATTTTTTTCTTGAAGTTGATATATCTGTAATAAGAGATTTAAAGTACAATATAGGGGATCCAGAGTATACTAGCCCATCCCCTTTGTCTTAAGCTCTAATCAACATAGTAATCCCCCCTTCCAAGCTTCTCTGAAACAGAATCTGACCTTTGTGCTGAAAGAGGTTCCTCAGCACTGATCTACAAAGGCATAACATCTGAAACAAACCCTGTAAATCTACCCACAATAAAGAAAAATTCATGGCATGAAATTGCAAAGTTTGGGTGTTTTGTGTTCAGTTTTAAGACCTATGAGTATAAAATCAGAGTTGACCCAGTCCTTATGGCTCAAATTTTCTGTATAGGATAGTAGATAGATTCCAGCCCTCTAAGTGGGAAGAAAAAGGACCCCCAGTAAGTTTGCCTTGCCTGCCTGACCCCCCGCAACACTCAATGCCACTCTTTTCTGGTACAATGTCAATCACTTCTGTTCCATGTACATGCTGCAAGTAACACCTGGGAATTTCAAATCCAAAACTTGCTCAAGATTTAAAATATATTAAGAAGATCACCTTTTACCTCCTCACTTAACAGAAATGAGAAAAGCAGCCAATTTGTATAGCAAGAAGGACCAATGTGAAAATACCATTCCACTTACACAAATTACACAAACACAAAATAGTTCCCTTCTCTGATATCCAGCACTCAGTTAGATGTCTCAGCTTTCCCCACATTTCTGGAATTTGAGCAGAACACTCTTCTACCCTACTAATATACAGCTCTGTTGATCATGCAATATGTACATCAAAACAAGAACTTCCCTGCCTTTTTCCTGAGTCCTCAAAAACATAAAGAACATCTATATTCCACCATTACAGATTACAAAGGACTTGGCAACATAGACTCACCATTTTCAGCATAACTGGGTATGAAGGATGCTTCTGATGTCACAGGTGGTGTTAAATTCCGGTTCTGGTTGTCATCAGAGCAAACTTGTGTTGGATAAAGCTTGGATGGAATTCCTCCAAAAGAAGGATAAAGGAAGTTGAGTATGTTAAATATGGCAGACCTAGCAAAATGTGGCCAAATAATCACTTCTAAAAGCCACAATTCAAAAAGGTCCATGAGAAACGAAATGGGCTTAACAGAATTGTCTTTAATGCAAACAGCAACAGCTGGGATATAATGCAAACGCACAATTCAGAAAAGCAAGTTTGATCATGACCTCAGCAGCATGGAAAGAGTTTTTTTTTCCTTTCTGCTTGTCACAATCCTGATAATCAGGCCATTTATTATTATTTTAAGTGCACATGATACACAAAGATGCATTTTAGGCACAACGTTATTCGGTTGTCACTCTCTGGATGGACACCTCCAATCTTGGATGTTTCTGAGGGCATGGTGCCTTGCCAGGCCACTACAAGTGGTATGGGAGGAGTGACAGAAGTGACTTTGCCTCTCAACCCTCCTTTTAAATTGTTTTCATTTGAAAGGCCTCTAAGACTGTCTAGTGGAGTCACAGCACCAAAGGTGGGGCCAAGGATGCAAAGGCCACAGGACAGAGCATAAGATCCTGGAGGGGAAAATCTCCATAGCTCTTCAGACAATGCCTAGAAGTCATAGGATTGACACTTAAATATCATCATATCATCTGAGAGATTTGGGATTGGGGTAATATTCACTGGATCAAACTGCTTTTTATCAATGATAGTTGTTAGTAATTAAATTCAATTAACATTTGCTAGTAATTAAAATATGCATTATTTTTCTCTTAAAACATTCAGACTTACAGTGCAAACCTACACATATCTACTCAGAAGTAAATTCCATGATTTCCCGTAAGACTTACTCCTGAGAAAGTGTATATAGAATTGTAGCCTAACACTTCAATGTTATGCATACTTATCTAAGAGCAAATTCCACTGAACTTAATGTGACTTACTACTGAGTAGCTATGCATTGATGTATTGGACTGCATTATTAATGCTATTTTCTTTCAACATGTGCATATAAATATTGTATTTAAAGGATGCTGATTGCAGTAGATCTATGCACGTCATTAGATTAACCACTTGAAAGTATGGTGCTAGGTACTTGAGTTGTCATTCTACCTAATGTAGCTTTTGTAGTTGAATCTATACAGTCTGAAACACAGAGTTTCGCACAAAATAGAGCTGGCCAACTTCTAGATCCTCAGAAGTTAATCTACTCTCCAGCCTGTGGTCCTGAGGCCAGAATTTTGCTTTATAACCAGACTGCTTCTGATCGCATAGTCTACAATGAAATTCACAGAGGTTTCTCAATTGTGGGGGAAATACATTTGAACATGTCTAAAGTGTTACAAACATGCACATAAACCCAAGAAAATGCAGAATACTTATCTCCAAGTCACACAAAATGTGAAAATAATTTTATTTCCCGTATAAGAAACTGTCAGCAAAGCTTTTGCTAACTTTGGCTTAAATTTGGTGGAATCAGCAGGTTTAAAAAAGCCATGACTTGTGGGCTGTCAATTGGCTACTAGTGTGTTAAAAATCTGGACAGTAAATTGATGGGCCACAGTCTACATTCAGACTTCCAGTCTGCATTTTGCTAGCTGCCAACTCAGTCACCAACACAGAAGAAGATGCTTGCCTTTGCAAGATGAAGCCGGGGTCCAATCCTGCTGTTGCTGCTGACCTTTCATGAAATGTGACAGCTCTCAGAGGCTGCCTCCTTTTCTTGTTAGCCACATTTCATGACTGAGTCCACCTTCTCAACAATACAAAGCAACAATACTCAAAATGACACGAGTACAGAGAAAAATAGAGCATGGGTACTATGTGACCATTATAGCGCTCCTGGACATAGGCAAAACCCACCCTGTGACTGTAATACTGTGAAGATGCATAATAGCCCAATGTGAAAAATATATCTGCCTTAACTATACTCTTGGCAGTAGTAGACAGCTTGATGGAAATGTTGGCCCAGTGAGTAGCTGCTGCAAAAGAAGCGAATACCATGCTAGGCATGACTAGGGATGGAATAGAAAAGAGAACTGCCAAGATCTTACTCTGCTTATCTTACCAAATCCTTGCTACAGCCAGACTTGGAATATTGTGTCCTGTTCTGGTCACCTCACCTGAATTAGGACATTACTGAACTGAAAAAAGTACAGAGAAGGGCAGTGAAGATGATCAGGGGAGATCATCTATGAGGAGAGGTTGAAACAACTGGGACCATTCCACCTGGGACAAAGGCGAGTAAGGGGAGACATCATAGAGGTGTTTAAAATTATGCACAGAGTGGAGAAAATGGAGAGAGAGACATTCCCCCCACCCCATAACACTAGAACCCGGGGACACCCCATTAAGCTGACTGGGGGAAGGTTCAGGACAGGCAAGAGGAAGTACTTCTTCCCGTAACATACAGTTGAATTATGGCATTTGCTGCCATGGGAAGCAGTGCTGGCCATCAATCTGGATGGCTTTAAAAAAGGGCTGGACAGATTCATAGAAGATGAGGCTATCCGTGGCTACTAGAATTACTGGCCAAATGCTACCTCCTTCACCAGAGGTGGCAAGCCTGCATACCGCAGTTGCTGAGGAGTTTGGGCGGACAGAGGCCTTGCGTGGTCCTGCGGACAGCTGGTTTTCCACCATGTGTACAGAATGCTGGACTAGATGAACTCTTGGGCTGATCCAGTACGGCTTTTCTTATGTTCTTATGCTGAGGCCTTGAGATGGTGATTTGTCCAAGATCCCTCATAACTGACTTGAGCCACGGACTTCCAACTTGGAATTCACATGTTTAAACACTATCCTAAATGAGAGAATTTTCATTAGGGGCTTGCTAGGCTCTTAAAAGATTCAGGGCCTAGCAATTCATCTTCCGTTACAATTAATTTGCAATCTCCTATTGCCCCTTCCTGAACTTTATCTTGTTCTCCCTCCACATAGGAAAATTGCACCCACTCCATGCAATTAGCCTTAAAAGGAAAGCTTTCAAGAAAACCAATGTAAGTGTTGTTTTCTAAACTTAATTGCCCTGAGGAAGCAGGGATTTGAGGGAGGCACAGGCCCCATCCCACATACTGATTGACCTCAGAAAAACAACTTCCATTTACAGCAACGGAGGTTTGTTTTATAAATATGCTTAATTGCCATGCAAGGAGGATTGGGGGAAGTTGTTCCAGCAAGAGGGGAAGGGAAAATTAAGCCTTCCCTCCCCAGCCACAATCCCCCTTGATTGCAGTGCTCTTAGATCTGCTCATGTGCCCAGCAGTTCCTTGTAAAGGATGAAATCTTAACAATGGTAAATCCCTTTGAGTTCATTAAATAAATATGCTTGGTCTTGCAATGGAAATCATGCAATGGGTGTGTGAAGCAGTCTTTAGTTCCAGATCAAGCACCACTATAAGCAATGTATCAATATACAATATGCCAATCCTTAAATTGTCCTTCTCTTGCTGCTTCGCAAACAAAGAAGAATTGCATACCACCCACCCTTAGTAAATAAGAGTGATTTTCTAGCTAGTTCTATACATTTCAGGAGCATGGCAGTCAGGAAAGATAAGGAATCCTGATTATATAGATAGATCTTCCACATGTAATCGATGTAAATTACTACTGCACTCCAGAGGGTGGCACCATTAACAAATGCTCCAAGAGAAGATTCCTACCCCACCCTATCCAAGCCCATTACAATGAAAATTGCCTTCTAACAATGGCCAGCGCCCCATTGGTCAAGGGCTGTCTGTGGAAGAAGGTCAGCTAATAACAGTCTAGAGATAAGAGAATGGTTAGAGGATGGAGACGTTGACAAAGTGGGAGGATTTCCCATTCAAACAGAACAAAAGTCAAATATTCTTGGGCAGGTGTCACTGCCATGTTGTGTTGGAAGAGGAGGAGGTGCTGTTAACAGACCTGGCTGATGGAGAAAGACACCATTAATCATCACAGGTCTAAGATGGGGGCGGACCCAATGTGCAAATATCATGCTTGAATCCTGTTGAAAAATAAAGAAGAGTGCGCGAGCGCACGCACACATACGCACATGCACACAGATGCTGGACAGCTGATAAAGGGAGTAAGACAGCTGCTGAGCTCACTCAACACACCACCCGTAATGAACGGGTGGAGTGGCGAATTTGTCTACTTTCAACATGAAACTTAAACACAAAGTTATTATCTACTTAGCAAACCAAAGAGGATTTCTTTTTTAATTGGAGGTCTAGAAAAGAAGGCAAGGGGTCTCTGTTAGAGGGCAGTAGGGCCAAAGTAAGTGCCATGATAAAATACCCAAACTGCAGGCAACCTCATCTCCTTCAACCCTTGCGGAGGAACCGTGAGTTATATTGCCCTGTGCCTTTCATTTATGAATGTACACCAAGGCATCAAAGGCAGGTTTTGTTGACAATGGCCCCACAGGGGCCCTCTGGAGTCGCTCCTCCTCTTTGCCACTGCAACCTGCTTGCTCTGACAGGCCTCGTGCTTTGGCCCAGGCAGTGGAAGTTGCAAAGAGGCTAAGCAGCAGGTAGCACTGCCCACTTGCACATTGGCGTGAATGACTGGGAAGAGGAAGGGGGGCAAGAGTAGCTGGTGCCAATGGTGGTAAGAAAACAGAGTCACTGAATAGTGAATAGTTACTGAATGGTAACTAGCCAGCCACTGTGGGTTGTCGTGCCAGGCTGCTTCCTGCAGGAGTGGCTTGCTTTTCCCCAGTAAGCATCCTGAGAACCCATGGCTTATTCTAGGGATTGTTGGACCCACAGTGGGTTGTGGGCTGCATCATCCAAATCCAGGCGGCTGACCCCACTGCATGTCCAGGGAAGCGGTGAGTGAGACGCTCAGCAAGATCAGCAAAAAGCCGTCACAGCTCTCATTGAGCACACCTGCAGCTTCACCAGCGACAGTCACCCTACCAAGGACGAAGCAGCGGTTTGGAACAACGATCACTGTCTCACTTGCCTCACTGTGATTGCGACCCCTTTTGTGGTTGCCACCATTTTTTGCCCACCCCCTTTCTTTTTAGATCACTTTTC